CAGTATTCCCACACTGATACCAGTTAAATACGTAGCCTTTCACAGGGAGCTGTCAAAGTGTCAGACTGTGCTGCTGGCCAATAAATTCACTGATCACAGACAGATTGCTGCAAAAGAGGGAGGGAGTGCTTTCTATGACAATTTTCTTCATGGCATGGATTTCAGTACAGGTTTGGAACAGGAGGCTCCTATCAAGGGTTCTCCAGATGTTAAAAATTAAGTGGGTATTTGATCAAGGTCAAAAATAGGCTTTTCAAAGTGACTGGAACATCTTTGTCATTGTATACAAAGGAGAGACTTGTAAATTACAATTTTATACAAGGTGAAGGATGTCTAAGAGCTCAGGTACAAATCAATTGTCTTGGGATTCATTACGGAATGAGGGTAAAGTCTCATAAATAACAGACATGATTGATTAGTGATTGGGATGTTGCTTCCCAAGCAGCATGGTCTTTACCTTGGCACTGTGTGACTGTTTTATCAGTAAACATGCTTTTTCCGGTGGTTGAGACAAATCCTCATTTACAGGTACAATAGAAACCTCCAAAAGTGTTGGTGCATCTTGAGTTTGAACCACACGGATCTATCTCACACTCGTTAATATCTGGAATACCAAATAACCATGAAACTCCCTGACCACCTTACTGATCTCTGTAAGCTTCCACCCAAATGTTTGTTTGATCTCGACCTCACTGTGTCACAGCTGGTGTGAGTTTACATGAAGAGACTGTTTTGCCTCATGTGGCAATCTTTATATCTCACATTCCAGAAAAATCTTGGCATGGATGTTGTGGTATTGAAGAATCCAACAGACATTTATTCCAACTAATCATTACTTGCAGACATTACTTTCCTGAGACAAAAATGTATCACGCTGTTCCATTAGAACAGAGGAGAATGGTTCCAGTAGAATGTCATGCTTCAAATGATCTGAGGTAAGATGGAGTATGACATCTTTATACCACAAGGTCACATGCTATGATGCAGTAATGATATCGCAAGCACTTGTCTGAAGGTTTTACTGACTGTTAATACGTAACATAACAGTGGACAGGAGAAAAACTCAGAAGTTGAACAGCAGTCTGCACCACATACTACAAGTGTTGAGCTGGGATGAGAAACTCATGCTCCTGGGAACTCATGCTCCCACTGACTCTATAACCTTATCGCAGCTCAATGAACTCAACCAATGCTAAAATAAGGATTAATCAGATTAAAATAGTGTGTTGACTGCCTGTGAAATGTCAAATTAATGCTAGATTAAGTAATTATTTGTCAGTATTATTTTCATTTGACTCCCCCTCATGACTATTCACTCATTGGGGATAGCATGTCACAGTGGGTTATGTTACCAAGTTTAGATTCCAGAGTCTTTAATTAATGCTGTGAAGGTATGAGTTTCGGTTTCTCACAGTTTACTGTATAGAAAGAGGAGTCTCATGAATGGTAATCTTACAGAGGGTGAAGAAAGTAAGGATGTTATGGATAGAAAATAAAAAAGTAAGAGCCACAGATGAATTATTCTGGGATTTGTTACATTGTGAGGGTCAGGTTGTTGCAAAAAACAGTGTTAGAGAGTGATAGTCTAGTGAATGTTTTAGATGTTGCTTCCCAAGCAGCATAGTCCTTACCTTGGCACTGCGTGACTGTTTTATCAGTAAAGGTGCGTTTTCCAGTAGTTGGGACAAATCCTCCTTTACAGGTGCACTGAAAATGGCCAATTGTGTTGGTGCATGTTGCGTTTGAACCACACGGGTCTGTCTCACACTCGTCAATATCTGGAATACAAAATAACCATGAAACTCCCGAAACAGCTTCATGTACTCATCATCTGCTGTAAGCTTCTGTCTAAACATTTGTTTGACATTTCTCTCCCTGTGTCACAGCTGGTGTTAGTTTCTGTCTAAGAGAAAATCCTTTATTGCAAGTGCAACTTTCCTCAGAAAATGTTAAACTGCTGTCATGTAGCAGAACAAATTATTTCAGTCAAGTGTCACTGACCCATATGGTCCAGAAGAAGCCCTTTGGCCCATTGAGTCTGCACTGTCAAACACTACTTCAAATCTACACAAATCCCACTTTCCTGCGCTTGGCCCATAGCCGTGAATGGGATGATATTTGAGAGATAGCATTGAGATAGCATTGTCAGGCAAGGTTAAGAGTAATCCAAAGAGATTCTACAATTTTTTAGGATTAAGAGAATAACTAGAGAGAGGATAGAGAGATCAAGGAGGCTATCTGTGTGTTGAACTTCAGTAAATGGTGGAGATATTAAATGAATATTATGTATCCATTTTGACTGTGGAGAAAGTAATGAGGGCTAGAGAATGCAGGGAAATAAATATTGATGCTGTACAAACAGTTGACATTACAGAAGAGGAGGTCCTGGAGGTCTTTGAGAATATAAAGTTGGATAAATGTCCAAGACTTGATCTAAAGTATCCCATCCTTTCTTCATACCTAAACTGCTCCAACCCAGTAACATCCTGGTGTATCTCCTCTGGGCCCGTTCCAGTGCAATCACATCCTTTTGAAAATGTGTGACCAGAACTACACACAGTTCTCCAGTTGTGGCAAAATCAAAGTCCTGTAGAGCTCCAACATAATCTCTCTGCTCCTATAATCTATGCATTGACTGTTAAAAGCAACTAGCCCTTATACTTTATTACCTACCCATTAACCTCTCCTGTCACCTCCAGGGACCTGTGGACAGCCACTCCAAGATTTCTCTGTTCCTTTGATCTTCCTCATGACCTGCCATTCATTGAGTACGCACTTGTCTTGTTACTTCTTCCAAACTGTATCACACCACACTTAACAAAGTTAAGTTACATCTGCCACTGATCTGTCCATCTGACCGATCTGTCCATATCCTCTTGTAACATAACACCTTCTTCCTCACTGTCAAACACCTGGCCAGCCATCATGTCATCAGCAAACTTACTTATCATCACCCCCCACGTTTTCTTGTGTATCATTTATGTAACAAACAATAAGGGACTCAGCACCAATCCATGGGATATGCCTCTGGGCACTGACCTCCAGCCTCACAAACTGCCTTCTACCTCCATCCTCTGGCTCCTATCATTAAATCAATATTTGGATCCAACTTGCCAAGTTACCCTGGATCCCATGTGCTTTTGCTCTGATGATCACTCTCCTGTGTTGGACTTTTTCAAAGGCCTTGTTGGAATCCATGTAAACTGCATCAATCTGTTATGGACCAGAGCAAACCCCCTCAAGATATATTAAAAGGATTGTCTAGCCCCTACATTTTTCTTATTTTGAAGGTAAATGTAAGGTGTTACGTACCAGATGCAATTTGTTTGGTCAAACTACTGAACATTAAGCAAATCACAGTTTATTCATACACTATAGTTAAAATACAACCAAAGAAAAAGAAAAAAAAACTGTGTTAGCTGTGACTCCGTTGGAAAACTTAGCAGAACAATAGATAGATTAGTTAGCCAATAAACAGTGAAGGTTCCAATATACTAACATCCCAAAAGCATACCGTTTGCAAAAGACAAATTCAGAGAACAGATTGTCTCGCATGCACCTCTAGCAGCAAGAAGCGAACCCCCAGCTTTTAACAGTAACTAAGAGATGGAAAGAATAGTTTCCACTTCTTCAAGAACTCAGTCGCAACTGCTACTGAAAAATTAAGAAACTAAAAATCCTGGTTCTGTGGGAGTTTGGCCACACCCGTTCATGCTGCTTCTATTGTTCAAATTTAAAAAAAAACAAGGCCTCACAAACAGTTTACTTTTATCGACTTTCCAAATAGTGTTTCAAAGCAGTGGCCTATCTTACCCCCCCCACTCCAAGATAGCTAAAACCAAAACACCCATAGAAGCTCGCCTCGTAATCTATGAAAGCCGTTGTTAAATGAAAGAAATCCCTGATACTCACTTTATAATCAACAGATAACCATTTATTTATCTAATTCTAACAGTTAACAAATTGACAGAACTACTAACAAACCAAACAATTCCCCTTAAATACTAACTATTCCTGAATAAAAAAATTCTAATGGTATGCTGTTCCTATATATATATATATATGTATATATATAAGTCCCACTAATATAAACCAAATTAATAAAAAAAAAGCTTAATCTCTCAAAATTATAGCCAGGATAAATCTTCCAGAATAGCATCCAAGTGGAGGCAATGGCCTAGTGGTATTATTGCTGGGTTTTCAATCCAGAGACCCAGATAATGTTCTGGGGACCTGGGTTCAAATCCCAATATGGCAGATGGTGGAATTTGAGTTCAATAAATATCTGAAATTAAGAGTCTAATGATGACTGTGAATCCATTGTCGACTGGTGGAAAAACCCATTTGGTTCATTAATGTTCTTTAGGGAAGGAAGCTGCTATTCTTACCTGGTCTGGCCGACATGTGACTCCAGACCCACAGAAATGTGGTTGCCTCTTAACTGCCCTCTGGGCAATTAGGGATGGGCAGTAAATGCTGCCTGGCCAGCGACCCCCTCATCCTGTGAATGGATTTAATAAAAACGTTCTTTGCCTTCTCTGCTGTCCTCCAGTAAGGAATGACTTCCTCCATCAAATTCTTGTGTCAGGAATATTAGCTAAGAGTGCCACAGGACCTTTGTTTAGATGGTGCTTACTCTGAGATCTTAGAGATTTCTGCGAGAGCCAGTGATTTTCTCTTTCTTTAGAGTCTATGGCTGTTGAGAGCTGTTCTCTTAACAGATGGCAGTTTGCTCTCACACCAATTTTCAAATGCCCTCTTCTTCTATACCTTTGATGACCTATTCATTTTTACAATAGGATTGGTCCGAGGTTGTCAAAGCCATCAGATTTAAATTTAATTGGTCTTAAATCTTTGGTATCTACGGCCTGGTTTAAATTGATTAGTTGAAATCAAAAACCTATTGTCTTAGTAAAAATGCTGCTTTGATTGCTAACTGTTAAGCTTTCTGAAAGAATATTTCAATTCCAAGAAATCTCTGTGAATCCGCTGCTGCCTGCAAACATTTTTTAATTTCCTAAAGCCTAAACAAATACTCTTTTAAACAAACACCTCTTTTAAAGAGACCATACGTTGCTCCCTGCTATCATCTTACAAACAAATTCTAACGTCCTGCCTTCCAATCCACAAGTGCTATACCAACTTTGCAACACCTCCCCCCTTAAGAAAAAGATGGCTTCAGTTTTTTTTCCTAAATCTGAACGCTATTATTACTAAACACATAGGTCATTAACCTAGAGTTACTCATTTCATACTAATTCTACATAATATATATAAAATTGAACACTACCATCTTCAAATTGAATGGGTGCAATAATATGCATCATCTAAACAGTCTGCAATTTTGTTCTTAAATTGTTCTAAAACCTTTAAGGGGTTATGATCAATGTATATAATTGTCTCAGACACATTACTGGTAATATACATGTTGAAATGTTACATCGTCAACACCAAGCTCTAAACTTTCTCAATTGTGGAATATTTCTGTTGATGATTATTCAACTTTCTGGAAAAATACCCAATAGGTCTTTCTATCTTCTCGTTGTTTCCTTATAAGAGTACAGCACCAACACCCATATCACTTGCATTGATAGCCACTTTGAATGGCTTTGTGTAATAAGGTGTGGCTAATACTGGCGCAGTGGTTAACACAGCTTTCAGGCTGTCAAATGCCTTCTGACATTCCTCCCACCACTGAAATGTTTGGCACTTCTTCAAAAATCAGTCAGTGAAGCAACCACACTGCTAAAAGTTGGTACAAACTTCCAATAAAAAACGCTGAGTTTGGAGGAATCATTGTCGATGGTGTGGGAAATTACCCAATAACTTTTGTTTTCACATCCTTTGGGGCCATCTGTTCATATCCAATGACAGGGCCTAAGAAAGTGACTTGGGCTTTTGCAAACTCACTCTTAGCCAGGATTATCACCAACCTCACCTTCCGAAATCAATCGAACAATACAACAGATGCTCCAAATGTTCCTTCCACGTGAGACTAAAAATCACCAAGTCGTCGAGGTAAACACACAACTGAGTAATCCCAAAGTGACTTTATTGGTTAGTCTTTGAAATGGGGCTGGCTCATTTCTCATACCAAATGGCACGACTATAAATATGTTCAGTTGATTCGGCGTCACAAAAGCTGAAATTTTCTTCACTCTTTTAGATAAAGGTACCTGCCAGTATCCTCTGAGTAAGTCCAAATTAGAAATATAAGCTATATGTCCCACCTTCTCAAATATTGAATAGGATATGAATCAGATTTTGTAACTGCATTGACTTTGTGATAGTCCATATATAATCATTGCGTACCATCTGGTTTTGGCACCATTACTGTGGGTGAGCTCCAGTCAGTACAACTCAATTCGATTATGTTGCCTCTGAACATGCGTTCAATCTCTTTTTGAACCTGTGCCAACTTTAGAGGGTTGAATCTATAAGGGTGCTGCTTAATTGGAAAAGCATTTCTGATATCTACATCATGCACAAATAGATTAGTACTTCCCAGCTTATTCCTACATACCTCCCCATGTAATTGTAACAACTCTTTCAGGTCATTTTGATTTTCCTCTGGAAGGTAACTCAATAATTTATGCCAATTTTTGAGAATTTCCTCATTGTCCAAATTGAATTTAAGGAATGTCCAATTCATAATCACCTGAACATGGTTCTTCACTCTGTGTTGCAACCAGTAACACATTCTCTTTTTGTTTTCCTTCCCTAACAAAATACCTTTTGAACATATTCACATGACACACTCTGTGAGTTTTCTTTCTAT